AGAGTATAAATTATTATTTGATTTATAAAAGAAGGTTCTTTGTATGTTCTCTAATTGTGCAGAAGTGACATGTAACACGTTATAAATTTAATTTCTGTTCTATTGTTAAGATATTAACACGTTATAACTTATAACTTGTTCTAAAATGCACTAATCAAGGATCATTTAGGATAAAAAAATAATATTCACATATTATAATTGTTCTTTATTTAAATAATAGTTATAAAATAAAAATAAGAAGACACACAATTAATTAATAATTTATTAATTAATTTGACCTTCATTACTACGTGACATTTCACTATACATTTTCGAATAATATAATAATTAAATAAAAACCATTATTCTAGATTTTAACATGCGGGGAGGATATCGAGCTTCAAGAAATAGTAAAACATGTCTCGACTTTTTAATTGATATATTTCCATTAATGTTATTGTTACTCTAATTTTAATAATCTTTAGAAAAAAAATTAAGAATATTTATTTATAATCAATGGACTTTTATTAATATTATTATTTCAATTTTCACATCAACCTTCCATTAAATTTCAAAATAATATAATATAAAACCATGATTCGAGGTTTTAACAATCTAGGTAACTATCCAACTTCAAAAAATAATGAAAAATATCTCAATTTAAAGAAAAAAAACCTAAATTAAATATGTTATATTCATAATCAATAGACTTTCACTAATTTTCTCTGTTTTTAATCTTCATATTAATATTTAACTAAAATTTTTAAAATAATATTATATAGAGCGGTGCTTTGAGGTTTTACCAACCTATAAGAATTCGAGTTTCAAGAAATAATAAAAAATGCCTCGACTTTCTTAGAACAAACGCTATTCATAAAAAATATAAAGTAATAATATTATATTTATAATATGAGAATAATAAAATATTTTTTCCATTTAAATATTATATAGCAAAATAAATAATTGGAACGTGATAACAAATCAACACTATATACTAAATATTCTAAATAATACGAAATTTCCGAAGTTGGTGGGAGCAACATGATTAGAAGAACCCTTCCCCAGCAAGCTCTATTTGACTTCAAGATTGGCAAGATTGAATTATTTTTAGTTTTAAAAATAATATTTAAAAATTAACTTAATGGTCTCCAGATATAAAATTGGTATCTATGAGTTGTTTTTATTTATTTATTTATGTATTTATTTATACTATATATAGTAAGAAATAATTAATTTCATACATAGTAGTGGAGAAAACCTTGATTTATTTATAGATGTAGGGATCTAGTTTTAGAGATCTACCAGTAACGTTGCATATAAAAAATTTAGGTCGAAAAAATGTATCATATCATCTACACGTTACTACAATAATATTCATAATTGATTAATTAAAAAATATTAATAAAATGAAAGTATAGTTTCATGTGACTTGGGTCATGCCTATGCGAGCAAAATTGGACCCCTGTTAGTCCAACATGATTTTAATATGGTTTAGTGGGAATAATTTAATCCGATGGAATATGATATGTTCAGTATAAGAAATTAAACACAAGCTACCTGCACAATTGTGCTGTTCATATTTGCTTCTTCATCGGCACGTTCTATAATTGAAGGAATATGTATCGAAAGTTTATATAGACGTTTGGATGATGTGATATGTTCATTCCACTTTAAATTTCTTAGTTGACTATGGTCTCTCTGGGTGGAGAATGCAATTAATGAAAAGTATGGGATCACAATGTGATTAGCAGCAATCAAGAAGAATGACTAGGAGTAGTTGTACTTTTAGACACCAGAAAACGTGTTGTCATCACATGGGCAGATAAATCTTAAGCCAATGGTCACGATCAGTTCACAAGATTATTAAATACATTTCATCCTGCTTTAGGAAGTTGCGTGTGTCTGAATTCAAACCTGCTTGGCTGCTGGAATATTATTCTTATTCAGAATTAGTCAATTCCACATGGGGTCACCGACAGAATTAATCTAGATACCAATCATGTCTTGTTCTAAATTATTGTTTATTTATTTATTTATCTTAATAATGCTAGGTATAATTCATTTTGACCAAAGGATGAAAATGAATAAAATTATATAAAGTTGTAATAGGTGGTCTTGTATCTGTAAATAACTCATTCAAATCACCGGAAACTTCTTGTATCTTTTATCCATTTTCTTTAATGAGGTTTTAAGAGTTATAATCATTACTTAGTCTTAGTCATATCAATCGATGAGATTCAAATTTATCTCTTACTTATTTTAAATAATAAGACTTAGAAGTGATTTTGAACGTCGAAAACATAAAAAATATCATATTGGAAGATGTTGAGATGGGTTATAGATGGGATGAAATAAGATCATTTTTGTTAATGTGAATGACTCATCCAAATCACCTTAACCTCATCTTAGGAGAGGGGCTATCAGGATGCCATAAGGTCATTATGCTCCTATGAACGACTCCTAGAACACGTTTGAAGAATACGATATTGAGTGTCAGAAAAGGTTTAGGCCAACACTTTTGGGCCCAAGCCATAATTGTGCCTGAACTTCATTAACAAGACCAACACTTTTGGGTCCAATGCTTTGCTTAAGCCCAACCCATAATGATGCCCAGACTGTATATTACAAGCCTAAAAAGATGTAGTCCATGAGCCAAAACTTTTGGGCCCAGTGCTTGCACCTCCTCAAAACAAGGCCTGACAAATTGTGTGCCGTGGAGCATTTCCTGCCTTGAAGAATGTAAGCAGGGGCGAATGGGGGCCGGTGACCCCGCTAAAAAATACTTAATTTTTCTTAGCTTTCTGTTTTGACCATGTTGTACATGTTAATGTTTCTGGACTTGATCTTACTCACTTTATTTTATATGTATATTAAATTAATTACACAGCCATTTACTTAAGGTGCGTTTGGTTTATTATTTTGATACTTTTTAGGATAGTATTTTGAAAAAAAAGTAAAATTAGGTGGTTATTATGAGGTAAGATTTAAAAATTAACAAATACACCCTCTAGGTTTGTTAATTTACTAAACACCCTTGTAATAAAACATTAAAAATTAATAAAAACACCCTTACCAACCTATTGAATACCGGTAGCCGACCACCACCCCCGGAGGGTGGCTAGAGTAGCCATATCGGCGCACGACTGGCTGGATCTGGCCAGTCGCGAGCCGATATGACATTTTTTAACCAGATCCACCATGGATCTGACCACTTTTGGTGGTCAATGATAGCTAAAGGTATGACCGTTGTTGATGGTCAAAGAACGTCATATCTTGGCAGTCGTTGACGACTAGATCTTTGGTCGTAGATCTGACATTTTTCGGCCAGATCCACGGTGGATTTGGTCGAAAAAGGCTAGATCGGAGTACTACCGGCTAGATTCAGCTGGCAGTGTACCATTATACTATATTCTGGCCACCTTCCGATGGTGGTGGCCGAAATCTGACAAATGTAGGTGGGTGGGGGTATTTTTGTTAATTTTTAAACTCTTTTTGGAGGTGTTCAGTTAGATTAACAAACCTATGGGGTTTAAAAATAATTGAATAAAATAGAATAGTATTTTTAGAATAGGAAAACAAATGTGTATTTTCGGTAGAATAGTGAAAAAAATTTGAAACAAACCACCCTAATCCTCGAATTACATTAAATTACTTGTCCCCTTAACATTAGTTGCTGAATCTGTCTCTGAATATGTAAGTTCGGATATAAAAAAAATGAAGATGTTTATAGGATAAAATGACTAAACATCGCCATTTATTGTAATGGTTGGTCCATTTTTGTTTCTGGGGTTGTACAGATTGAATTGAGCTTTCTGGGTCATAATCTTCAAAAATTCCATTGAGAATTACGGCTGCAAAAAGCTATCTTATAAGAAAGAGCTAGCTGCGCAAGGAATAAAGCTCAAAGCTTATAAAAAATGGCATATATGGGGAAGGTCAACTATGCCATCCCGCCAAGCTGCCAACAGCTTAGGATTCTCTTCCATGTCCACTTTACAGGAGTTAAAGCTTCACAAAACTGTAAGAAAGAAAGCAAAAAATTTAAGGGAATGTAGTAAAGAAGGTGGAGTTCACATGGAGAAGAAAGTATATCGCATATTCCAATTTCATAGTATTGGATTTTGATATCCAAATTTTGTTCCCTTAAAAATTGAATACTGGGAAAAGTGATTATGTGATATATGAATCCAACTAACCCGTAGAGGTTTGCTCAAAAATACATCTACTTACTGAGGAAGGTCGTCTAAGCCTTGTAAACTGAATTTCAGGCATCTCTCCTAATTATATGGGATGTGACACAATCTCTTTGTTCGGTTGTCTGTTTCTATATACAGTAGTATGATACAAGAGAATGAAATTAATTCTGAAACAATGGTGTGGAAAGAAGCAAGATGCCTAGATTTCAGAGCAGAAATTATTAAATCTAAATACTAATGCTGAAACAAAATGGGAGGGTTGGTCCATCAAACTTGCATCACCTACTGTCATCCTTCAGAGCCACTTTAAAGGAAGCAAATAATTGAGAGTTGTATGTGGGGATCACCAAAAATTGAAAGCTTTGACACCATACACATGCCATTGCCCACTTCACATGCTCTCTGTCTCCCTTTGCCCACCTTATACACACTATACTCTCTTTTGTTATAACCCATTGCTGTCACATCTCACATTGTTATCGAATGAAGAAATCTAGAAATAAGTATAATATCTCTTACCCACTTCACCGAAAATGATATAGAGAGTTACGATCATTATATATTGTCATATTCATCTCATTTACTAGGATTTAAATTATCTTTTACTAACTTCAAACAGTAGGATTTATAGTGCATCCATCTCGACTTGGCTTGGATATTAATTCAAATTATCTTTTCAAATGAGTCAGGAGTCATCTATCTAAATGAGTATAAATTTAAGTAGACGATATCTATTTGATTGGATACAAACAATTTCAAATGATCTCATCTCAACACATCACTAAAAGAATTATTGAAATAAATTACTCAATGAAAGACGTTATTAATTACACACTCACAATTCCATTATCTATATAACAATATCTATATATATATATATATAGTTAGAGAATATTCTAACAAGTTTAGCTTGGTTATATTGTAATTAAGCTGCCAAAATAAGTTTTTTGAACTCGTCACTAAAACTTTGTAATTAAGAGAGGCTGGAGAGCTGGGGCTGCAGTTGGCTGATGAGAGTACTCCAAAGCTATGCATTGAAGGTGTCTTGGACAAGAGATTAAATGGTCATTAGTGAGACCGGCTGCTTGCATGAATGAGTGCATTACTGTCGGCCCAACAAACCTGAAACCTCTCTTTACCATATCTTTGCTCATGTTTTCTGATTTTGAGGTCTTCACGGGAATCTTGTTGCATAATCTATACTGGGTATTGATTGGCTTGAAATTCACAAATCCCCACAAGTACTTGTCAAATGATCCAAACTCTTTCTTCACCTGTGCAAAATAAAGTAAAAATTATTAATAAAGTGAACAATCTCATCATCTCATACGTAAGACTGTTAAAGTAAATTGTCTCATTGCATCAGTAAAATGATATCATCTCACGTATAAGACTGTAGATGAAATGATAAGACAGTTTCATATAAATACTGTTTAATGATAACGATAATCATCGTTATCATTAATCCTAACTGGCCTTTAATGATAAGAAACCCAACTAGAGTTCATTTGGGTCCAAAAAGCTAAGCTTAAGTTATTTTTTTTAAAGCTGCAAAAAGATAAGATCACTTTACAGCTTGTATATTAAAACAAAATTAGAAGTTCTTAAGTGGGGTAATATTATTGGGTTTAGCAGCTGTGTAGCATTAAGGAATTGATTAATTAAGCTAATTGAAAAAGAGAATTAAAATATTAAGGATGTTTCATTACCGCAAGAATTCTGATAGAGTTGTCAACAACACCTCTAACTTGGCTTATATCTATGCCATACTCAGCTCTTATTGATGTTATCTTTTTTTCATTGAATTTGGCAACAACTTCTGCATCAAATCCTGAAAATGCCTCTCTGCAAAATAATAAATGACAAGCAATAAGAACCAGTTAAATTACACTTTTATTGCTTCTTCAAAGGCATGAAGCTAAAACAACACCAGCTTGATTATTCACCTGAATATTTGTCTTTTCTTCAAGACAGAAGTCCAATCTGATCCAACTTGTGCACCAGTCAAGATTAGCAATTCAAACAACAACCTGCAAAAAATGAGTTCTTTTAGTAATTTTTATATCATTACACTGAAGTCTGTAACAGACTAATCCAATCAAATATATAGTCTGTTTAAATTTTAAATATAATCATTTTCACCGGAAATGCGTATACTTAGTCGAGAAAATCTGAGACTTTTCTTATTTTTTAAGAAGAGTTCGAGAATTTAATTACTTGTCATAATGGACAGGAACTCCCCATTCTTCATCATGATAAGCAACATAGATAGGATCTGCACACAAACAATTTCATTGTAAATTTGCATGAAAATTAAGCATGAGAATTAAACATTTTTCAGCTTATGTTTAACTAAATACCTGAATTAGGAGTAATAAAGCTACATCTTTTTTCCTCTCTACCAATACTGGCAGTGGCAACAAAATAACTCTTGGAAGATTTAGTTCTTCCATAATGAGCAGTTTTCATCTTTCTTTGTTCTTGCATAATGGCAACTTGCTTCCTTCTTGCTGCTGCTATGCTTCCTGGAGCCTCAACTATCAAAGAAGAGTCATAAGATGGAAGTGCAACTCCAACACCATTAGTACTACTCTTCGTTTTCTTTACCGAATTCACCAACTTTGTCGCGCAACGCGGTATCATCACCTTCTCAGCACTAGAGTTCAGCTCATTAGCTTCATTTCCTCTTTTCACTGCTGGTGGTCTTGGAGATTTTAACTTTGGAGAGATGGGAGGAGACATTGAAGACTTGGTAGTTTTAACATTATTATTAGCTGCAGTAGTTGGCAATGGTAATGGTGGTAGAGTAGGAGATTTTGGTGAAGTAATTTTCTTAAGTGAATTGCGCCTTTCCAAGCTTGGAACTTGGTTAGATTTTGGTTGAAGGACAGGGCGACCATTGATTGGAGCAATTTTTGGAGTGGCCCTTTGAGGCTTAGAGTTAGAGGAACGCATTTTTTCAAGTGATGTAGCTAGGGAGCTTTGTGTTAGAGAATGAAAGAATGAATGATTTTGGTTGAAAGATAGAGAAACAATAGTGAAGGAGTTAAGGAGGGTTTGGAGAAGAAGTTGTGTTTATAAACTAGAAATGTGGGGTAGATTTTGGAAAGTTGTAACATGGGGAGGTGGGAATCTGCCATACACATCTTCTTCTTCTGAGGGGCATTACTTTTTTGCTAATACAAGCCCAATGTGTTGAAAATGGCACTATTTTAATAATATAAATTCTTGGAGTATATTTAAAATATTTCTCAGATGTGGAGCCGAAATTTTGAAAATTTTGAACTCTGGGTAGTTGGCACCAATCATATATTGTGTGAGCGACAAGGAGGGCAAAGTGTGGGGATGGTTATGGTGCCATTGCCAGCCCTCAAATGGACCCTCATTTTGTGCCTTTACTGCTCATAAGTCCCGAAGCTGGAGTTGGGAAGATAAGAGAGGTCAGTGGGTGAGAGAGACTAATCATTGTCCCTCTTAAGAGCTGGCTGACAATTTCAAGACTCTAATTATTTTAATATGATACATCAATTGCAACTCACATGATCTTGAAGTTGATATTTTAATTAGTTTAAGTTTAGTTGCTATCTAGTCAACAAAACTGGTTAAATGCTTTAGGGCTAACTTCCCATACAAAGGCGACCCACAATAGAAAAAATCATACTTTGGAGCATAAGTTGTGTAGATACTAAAATCAACACTCCTGGTAGCTCTTGAATTGCTGATGAATTGATCCACCACACTGTGTTTGTATCAGCACCAAAAGTCTTGAGGCATGAACCACCAAACTTCCTCACTGTTGTCACATTGATGGGTTGTTTAAAGGTACAATTCACAACAACAACTGTGTAAACTCTGCCATGCCCCAGTCAGGGAGAATTCTATAACCGGAGGCCTTGATGCTCGGCTGTGAGGTTTTAAAGGAACCCACTCACATTCATAAGAGGGCTTTCCAAAAACATGATTCGGCTTTGAAGAAAGGCCAACAATGGCGAATGTGTTGAGCCCTCACGGTGTAGTTCCCATAGTGATGAAATTATAAGCTGCAGCGCCATAGGTGTTGAGGCTCTCTTGATGGTGGAGTTGTCGATGATTTGGTCGAGCTCAAGGGCGGGAGGAGGAGGGGGAGACGGAGACGGCGGGGGGGTGAGGGGGAGGAGGAGGAGGAGGAGAGGAGGAGAGGAGAAGGAGCGGCCAATAGGGGCTGTGTTGAAGATGAGAGGTGGCGTTTGGATTGGCGTTGGTGTTGATTTTCGAGATGCAGAGGCGCAAATCGGAGGAAGAATGTGTGAAACGAGAAGGGAGAATTGGAGAAGAGTGGCAATGCTACAAAGAACCAAAAGCATGCCTAATAAAAGCTTCATTTCAGCTGCACAGTTCCATATCACCCCACAAACATCTTCTTCTCTTGTTATCTTTCTGATCTCTTTCTTTGGGCGTCATTGTTGAGGCTGTTGGTGTTCTTGAGGAAGAAGAAGAAGCCTATCAAAGAACACAAGGTTTCAGACTTTGGTTAAAGAAGAAGAGAAAAAAGCAAGCTTTTAGGAGGAAGGAGAAGAGAACGAATGAATATTATTAATCAAACAAATGCAAAAATTATTTCTCTTCTCTGTCTTCTCTCTCTCGCCTCTTTTTTGTGTTCTATCTTTGGCTCTACTTTTATATAGAGTTCATTAAAAAAGTATCAATCACACCCTAAAAGATTGTTCAGTTTTTCAACTACCACGATGTTCGACATTTTTAAGGGATTTTTGATAATTAATCGATTTGTTCGGGAGCTTTTATACTTTCAGAAAATTAGGGGTGGTTTTGGAATTAAACCATGTTTTGGAAGTTATTAAAATGATTTTTGAGTGGCTGTATAGTAGTTGTTTTGTTTTAGTTTAAACATGACTAAGAATAATCAAAAGTAATTTTTCTAATGAAATATATTGTCAAATTAAGGAGTTGTTACTTACTAATAATTAATTAATAAAATTTACAGCTTAAAAGCCGTGTCAAAATGTGGGGCTCTAAATCTTGACAGAGCAAGCCATGGTTGTTGTCTCCGGGCCTCCTAGTTTTTTTCTTATAGGCCCCTTGTTGTTTTATATTTCTTATTACTCCCTACACCTTCTAAATTTAATACTTGCCTTAATAAGATCCCTCGAGAGTCGAGATTTTGATATTTTTATAATTTTAATATATGGTAAATATGGGTAAGTTTTTGCTGTCATTATTTTGAAATATTTACTAATAGGGTTGGTGATTAATAAAAGATCAAGGTAAAAAAAAAAGGTAAATTCTTGCAAAATGACAATTGTAACTTAAGTTTGATTAAATTATGGAAATAAATTCTTGGTTTTAAGCAAAAATTGGGAGTTAAAAATATTTATTTATTATATTAATTAACAACTTTAAGCATTTGATAGTGAAGGTTGTTTATGAATTTCATTCAAATTTTTAAATTAATCTCAATATAAATTACTAATCATAAATTGAGATATAAATTAGAAATTTTATGTTATAATGTTACGTGTAAATTCAAAATAAATCACTTCAAAAATATTCATCAAAACTAATATAAGTAATAAATAAAAGAACTTGTATGTAACATACATCATTTGATAAAAAAAACACATAAAACAACTAAAACATAAAAGGATCTTCTATAACAAATGTATTCGCATCTGCTTTAGTGTAGAGAAGTTATATGTGTAACAAAGCTAACAGAGAAATGTAAGTGATGCAGTATTTTCTCTTAGTTAAGAGTAGAAACATTTAACAAAAAAAAAAATTAATAGATTTTGAAACTAAAACCGGTAAAATTAAATAAAACTTTTTTTATTGGACGAGTGTATATAGGTTCAATGATGTGTCTTTTTTTTTTTTTTTTTTTTTCATAATAGGATAAAAATAAAATCTCTTATGAGAAGAGTGAAAAATAAGAAATATAAAAAACTTGGATGGTTTGTTGAAAAGTAAAGGAGGGGCAGCGGTGCAAAAGTTAAATTGAAGTTAGGAAAAGGTGACAGTGGAGGATTTTCTGTTGGAGCATGACCTGTCATGTTCCTCTGGGCTGTCTGCCTTTACAAGAACGGCGAGTGTGGGACCATTATTATTCATAAAAAGTAGAAAAATCTTAATTCATAATTCACTTACCACGTGGAGTTTTGCCACGTGTACCTAAGAAATGCCACTTGTCGTAATTAGGGGTGTTAAAAAAAAAGCAAAAATGAACCGCTAACCGAATTGAAAAACGGTTAACCGAAAAAAACGGTTCGATTACGGTTCAAAAAATTCAAAAAACGAATTTTCGGTTCGGTTACGATTCGAGAAAATTAGAAACGGTAAAGAAAAACCATTTTTTTTGAACCGATTTTTCAAATATATAATATAAAATAAATAAATAATAACCTAAACTAAAATAAATCCCTAATTCACTCAATCTAAATCCCAATCCAAATTTTTTTTCTAGTTCCCAATGTATTGTCTATATTTACAATTTAATTTAGGACAAAATTAAAAAAAAAGTTTTATAAAAAAAAAAAGGGAAAACGGTTAAAACCGGTTAACCGAAAATAGTTTTCCTTAAAATGGATGGTTCGGTTCAGAAATTTTTCGAAACCAAAAATCTAATTCGATTTAGAAAAACGTTTAATTGGTTCGGTTAACCGCTTTTGAACACTTCTAGTGATAGCCACCCACCTTGGTGGAATTAAATTTTTGAATGTGAAAAATCGGAGATGGGCCATGGGCTCCCTTAATTTGGGCAATTTAATACCAATTTAAAATAATCATATTAGGTGTTCCGGTATACCTCTTTTTGAATACTGTTACACCCTCCTTTATGGAGTTTTGTTATTGGGATTTCGCTATTGGGAGTACGTTACCTAGTAGAAAGTGTTAACCTCTTAAAAGTATAGAATTAACAAAGTTAAATCTCATTTGGATATGGTTATTTTTTTATATACTATTATATTCTCCTTTATCTCTAAGGTGACGGATCTACAACAAGATAGAGTAAAAAATTTCATTATTTTGGTCTATTTGAACATAATTTACTTGTCTACCTCCATCTCCGCTTGTGTTGTCGGAAGTAATGTCTTCTCATAGTTACTCACACTTATAGGAAGATTAATTATGTTTATAATGTTGTAAGTCGATGTAGTGCCACCCTATTTTTCTTACCCTTGGTTCTTATGATGAATTCGTGACGGAGAACTCCACATGTAAAAAATGAAATTCAATAACTAAATAGTATTTCGTATAGGTTTTGTTGTCTAGAAAAACAAATTTTGAAATTAAATAATTCCTTCTACCATGAATCATCAGTAATAATATTTGTTTACATGTTAAATTAGTAAAAAATCCATACAAGGATTAGATTATTATGTCACATTTGGAGGCTCTACCAAATTGAAATTCTTCACATCCATTTCAAGAGAAAAGTTGCACAAATGATATCCAGACGAAGGAGTTCGAACTTGATCAAGACCAATCAAATGCTAGTTTGATTTAGTGAATGGCAGATTTAGAAAATGCTGCTTGTGTGTAAGATATTCTCACTAAAATCTAATTCAAGTTCAATATAGTGACACTTAAACCCTATTCTAATTTGGAATACGATGCTATTGTATTCCTAAAAATGATTATATTCCATTCCTATTTAGAATAGATATTATCCTAAAACAATTTAGGAAATAGTTATTAGATCTCAATTCTATTACAAATGGAATAAGTTTTACCCTAAGGAAAGAATTATTATACTTCAGTTAATATTAATATAATAAATATATTTGATATTAATTAGGTAATGTTAATTTATTCAATTATATTAATATAATAAATATATTTAATATTAATATGTATTTTTTATTTATTCTATTTACTAAGAAATAGACATAGGCGACTTTCTATACAAAATTATCAAATTTCATTTCTTTGTAAAAAGACCAGAATACCCTTCTTCTTAAATCACCTTCTTGATCCAAAAAGTGTTCCAGTTTCTTATGGTGTGTGACCTGTAAACTCCATACATGTTAGAAGTGAGTAG